CTGCGTAGTAAAGCCTCGACTCGTTTCATTAAAGTCCAGAAGAGAACGAGTGGCCCATTCGATCGTCGTGTATCCACTGGGGAAGATGAAGCGGCAAGCCAAAGACGATGGAGGAGAGAGCCTGAAACCTGCGACAATTTCCGCTCTCTATTAATATTCAGCTATCCTCCCTGGTCTTCTGCGAACCTGCTCTTGACTTTCTTTTGCTGGCATACCTGGTTATCTGATCGACCCTGTACGTATCCTTTATCCGTAAGTCACGAGGCTCCCGCTTCTTCTTCCGTGCGTGTATTTACTTCCTTCCCAGTACGAACTCCTCTTCGCCTCCCTTCCCTCAGGCCCCTTGGTGGTGCCAGTCTCCCCCAACTCTTCCGTCCATACAGACCTCTTCATCTGTGAGTCTATCTGTTGTTGCCTTTTTTCGACGACCTCTACCCGCAACCTTGGCGGTGACGCAGTCCCGACCTGTGTTTTCCCCAGCTCCTCGGTCTTTCTTCGTCTCAGTTTGTCGGGTGCTCGCAGGAGGAACCCCTTCTTGACCCTGAACTGTCTTGGCTGTGCTATGGACTGTTGTCAGACGGAATCAAAACGCGACATCTCTAGCTTTGCATCGCCTTCCAAATCATACCATCAGCCCCGGACTTTGGGGGCGGAAGAACTTTGCATGAGCACTGTGCTAACACCCTGTCGCGCGCTACAGCTCTATCACAACGAACCACGTTTTGCGCTCCGAATCACTCCAAGGAAACCTCTAAGTCTCCGAAGTTCGCCCTTGCTTAATCACAAGGAACTCGTGCTGGCATCAGTAGTCGCCCGCCCGCCCGCTTACATCTGAGGTGTCGCAATTGTTCGCCCATTGTCGCGCCGTACTCGTTTCAGCTATTAATTATCGTCGCTTGTACCCGACGGCCTCTACAGTGAACCCCAAAAGTGACGCAGTTGAGACAGTGGCTGAGCTTCCGTTGGGCTGTGAACGGCTGAGATTGACGTGTTCGGACTGAATTTCACCCAATACTTCGGACACACATTTGCGACTTGAGAGACTCGGCTTTTGACTGCAACCTCGATTTTGGAAATCGGGCACGACCTGAACTATCACCACTTGCACTTTGTGTCTCGTCGCCCTTCTCGTCTCAGCTTCGCATCTGGCGCCCTTGCTCGGTTGATCGCTACTCTTTGCTACGAACGCTGGCGATTTGTAGCTCACCGACGTCGCATTCTATCATTTCATTCCACCAGCTAGGCTTGCGCGAGTTGAACGTGAGTTTATCCCATATGTGCGCTCTCTTTGTGAGGATATTGTTGCGCGGTCGCGGTTGCGCCGGAGCCGATGCTTTGTTTTGGTTTCTTTTCTTCCTCTTTTCTTCGCAGCATGACCGCCGGGGCCCGCTAGAATGGAATTTAAATTTGCTAACTAGACCTATAGGCTAGATTTGGGACGACCGTACCCTGTCTCGCTTCAATCGTTGAGTCTATCTATCGCATCCGAACCCTGTGGACGAACTCCGACGTGAGTTCTACGGTTACGTGTCGCACAGACTACCTCAAACTACCTTTTGATTCGTCCTGGCTACCGCTCCTCAGCAAATAGCTGGGCCGGGTCATGGACATCACAACTATCCTAAACCGAAAAGCTTCTGTGGCCATGGTTGCGCCAGACACCCAGTTCGACCATCAACAGTTCATGCAAGCTTCAAATCTCGATAGTTCATCTTCTCCTGGGATGAAATCCGAACCTGGCGTTTCTGAGGCGGCTGATCAGGCTGTCCTCTCGTATCCTCCCCACGCTCAGCTGACCCAGGCACCGAACATGAACCAAGACATTCGATACGCGGTTCAACCGCCTAACCCGCAACTGCCTATGCTGCAGAGTCCGTATGCTCCTGCAGGGTATCCCACCGCTCCAATCCCAATTAGTGCGGCGCCCCACGGGCGACCGGAACCCCCTCCCAAAACATTCCACTGCGGAACGTGCGGGAAAGGATTTGCTCGACGAAGTGACTTAGCAAGGCACGGTAAGACAGGCCCGCGTGCGGTCAAGGCAGTATCTCTGTTTCTAACTTATTTATAGAGAGAATTCACTCAGGAATTCGTCCTCATGCCTGCGACTACCCCGGCTGTGGTAAGCAGTTTATTCAACGCTCTGCTTTGACGGTACATTCTCGAGTGCACACCGGAGAAAAACCGCATATGTGCGAAAGATGTGGCAAGGTATGGCAATTTGCAATCAAAGATTGTCCTATAACTAACTTGGTTGATGCAGCCCTTCAGTGACTCATCCTCCCTGGCCAGACATCGCAGGATTCATTCTGGGAAACGGCCGTACAAATGCCCTTACGCCAATTGCCAAAAGACCTTCACCCGGCGCACAACATTGACGCGCCACCAAAACCACCATACTGGCACCATTGAAGAAGCTGCTGCTGAAACTGAGGCCAACCTCCGGCAAAACAAGGAGAGGGCAAGAGTGGACGGAATCTTTTCTGACCATGGCTCTGTTCACGGCTCGGTGCATTCGACGCCTTCTCCCGCGCATCACCCCATCTCACCTGGTGGTGAGCTTCCTCCTCTGACTATTCCCCGTTCGACGGGCGAATACTACCTAGGGAATGGCTCTATCCCGGCGCACGTCCGAGGGGACTTTCAACAGGCGAGTCCTCGCGCCTCCCCCACCGCCTCATCGCCATCTCTCTCCACCTACAGCAGCGCTCCACTTCCTCGGCCATCCATGACTTCTCATCCGTCGGCCTATGCGCCTCCTCAGCCCCTAGAGCCGCCTGCCAACAAAGATCATCGCCCAAATAGTGTCGGTGGAAGCCCTCATATGTCCAGCCTGGGCTGGCCCTCGCCTTCACATTCGCCTGTTTCGGCCCCGGACTTTGGATATCCTGAACCAAGCGGCCCGTCATATCCGGGTTCAGTCCCGCCTCACATGTATTTCCCAAACTCTACCATTCGACGTCCCGCTAGCACGGAGCCCGAGAATTATGAGCTGAGACCAAGGCTTGGCGATAACTCATGGTCTACGCCGGTCTAGTCATATGCAAAGAATGAATACGATGAATACGCGCGTTCGAGCCATCGGCCTCTGTGCTCATTCTATCGACCAATGCCTTGCATTGAAATTACCCAATTTCCTTTGTTTTGTTTTTGTTTTGTTTTGTTGTTTTTTTTTTCGTTTATTTCTTGCTTCCATGCTCTTCTGCCCCGAGATCTCAAATTATCATTCCCCACGCATTGCATCTTCTACATTGTTCTGGTTTCATTCAGTATACCATCATGATAGCATCTCCCAGTGTCGGGTATAAAGCGCTGGAAAGGAGTATGGGTCTGGCTAGGCTGGGTTGATCGGTTGATTATTGTCGCCAAACGGGGCGTTGTGATTTTCTTTCATATCATTATTTGTGGCCTTCATGTGCGATTATGACCGAGGGACGAAAGCATCTATAGAGTGGGAAATGGGTTTTTTTTACGTGGTGTTTTGTCTTCTTCACCCGACGCTTGGTTGGGGCTTCGATGGATCGGGACACTGGGGTTATGAAGCTTTGCTCTGTTTTTCTGTGCTTGTTCTCATGTTGTTTATTTCCTTTGTCTATCATGCTAACGTTCTCTTTTGTATGTGATCTTCTACCTCTTGTGAATGATCATCTTGTACGATATAGACCTAGCAACTGCTGCTCAATGTGATATTATACCATTCAAAAACACAAATTCCCTCAAGGAGCCTCATGTAGTAATACCTTGTCATCAATCTTGTGGCTCTTGGTTTATCGCGAGACCGGGACGCTTGGAAGGCACTATTAAGTCGCTTCTCCCCATATCATTGTCATGCTCCTTCCCTATGGATACCTAGACAGCGTCTTCTATGTCCACTGCAATGTTAGCCCATCCCTACAAGATATATCCACACCCCGAGGAGGAAGTGCAACGGGCCTGCCAGCCCATTCCTTCCTGTTCTGAACTGAAGAGTACACTATACCGCTCGGGCTCCCTTATATCTGGATTTTCGCATAAACTGAGTCCGCTCCTACCCTTTACAGGATTTTCTTCAATCTATACAATCGAAGCGATAGACCAGACACTCTGGATTATGAACCGGCAGCAATCTTGTTGATTATATATACCCTACTTGACACAATTCAGTTGGCATGCAGAATTGAACATCCAAAAACGCCCGCCATCCCTCCAATGCAGAGCCACGGAAAACACAAGATAGTATGTACTCGCTCGAATGAGGCAAGAGAAAACTGAGACGCCATCAGCCGCTACGAATAAGCACCTAGTCCCGAGAAATTTGACCCTGAGCCGGCGATATCCGGGCAAGCACAGGTCTGGGCAGAGGAAGAGCCGCGCAGGGCTCTGCCGACAAGGGCGGCGCCGAACCCGACCGCCGAGGTGCCTTTCCCTGCGTTGAGGAGGCCAAAGCGGAGGAAGACCTCTGAGGTTGTGACGAGGATGGAGATGACGATTAGGACAATGATGATCCATGTTTGATCTGTGAGAGAAGGGAAACGGTTAGTTCGATGACATTATAAAGCGAGAAGCAGTGAGAACTCACGGGAAGTCTTGCTATCTGCGATACCGTCTGAAAGAATTTCGGCGAGGTCGAGGAAGACTCGGCACCTTTCGTTGAGGACCTGGATGCGCGGCTTGATTTCGAGGTATTCGCGGACGGCGATGTAAAGTGGGTAGAGCGTTGGCTCGCTTTCCCAAAAGAAGTTGGGGACGTCGAGGACATTCGAGGCTGTAATAGATCCGTTAGCAATTGACCAGCATAATATCTTTTCACTGCAATGTGGCTCCAGGACGTACAGAGATTAACCTCCACTCGACTCTTGAATAGCTTGCCTAGAATGCGGAACACTTCTTCTCGTTTCAGACCTAGTTTGCCCGTCATAGCAAGACGGCGCGGAACATCCTTTGCCTCGGCCATTTGGCGGGCCATGACCTCCTCAAAGAAACATAGTTTGGTGCTTTGGGCTATACCGTGACTTATGGATAGCTTTATCATATGATCGCCACTCCGGAGGGTAATCATATCGTTGTAGACGCGCGGGCGGGAGATTTCCGTATTGTACTCAAAGTGGAATTCTTCTGTCTCAAAGTCTTCTTCCTGGAGCGGCAGTGTTGCGAGGGTTATGGGGGACCCGGTTGCGGAGGACGTTGCGAATGCTAGATCTGCCAAGATATCCTTTTCTTGTTTCGCCGTGAAGTTCCAGAAGACGACAACGCCGTAGCTGAATACAAACATCTCGGCGACGTCATATGGGAGTCTTGTAGGCGTGGACCCAGGGGATAACAATCGAGGGTGGCCATCGCTCGTAGTGCCATTATTAGAAGTTAGGTGTCCATTCTGCTCTCGAGCCTCATGTTCGTTCGATTGCCCTTCAAAAACGGAGTGCTCTTCCGATTCGATATAGTCTTCGTCGTGATCTCGCAGCTCGTTTCGTTCAATCTCCTCATCCAATAACGACTTTCCCCCAGGCTTCTTCAGAACCGGACTACTCCGCACTCTGTATCCCCCGTGTCCGGGCAACAGCGGAAGATGGTAGGCCGTATATAGACAATCATCGTATAGCTTCGTCCTCCCGCCATGCCTATCTTTCACAAACGATGAAAGAGAACTCATCTTATAAGCCTGCGCGGTACAGTAAGCCGTGACACGAGCCAACTTTTCCGCACGACGGGCTTTGGGTAGTCGTTCTGCATAACTCTTCGCTCTCTCTGGCCCAACCGCCCGCTTGCGCATCCGGTCCTCCTCCGCCAGTAGCGGCGCGAGGTCGTTGTCGACACCAAAATCACCACTAAGCCTCTTTTTCTGCGCTAAGAGCGTATGCCTCACTGAGTCGGGGTCAATATTCTTCTCCTGCGCGATTCGTTGCACCAATTCCTCATCGACCGTCTCATCGCCGAACTCATGTTCTTCATCTTCGTCTTCCTCATCTTCAGGCTGTGGCTCCACTCCTTCCTCAGGTAACAGCACGAGCTTCTCGCTAACCTTCGTCGTGCGAGGTGGGAGATGCGGTTGCGCCGCTAGACGTCCGATTGCGGCCGCTGCAGTAGATGCATTGGCGCCGCTGGCGGCACTTCGACTTGCGCCTGCGCCCGAGCCGATCAGTCCGCCTGCTGCTGATGCAAGACGGGAACGTGGTCGTAGCCGTGCCGCATCAGGTGGATTTCGCTGTTGCATTGAGGGGATATCGGAGGCATATTGAAGGACGTTATCGACCGTGATGAAACGGGTGGTAGCTGGGGAACGGCGGCGCCGGGGTTGTCCGGACGAATGTTGTTCTCGGGAGTCGGTCACCTAGATCAATGAGTATTAGCAGCGGTCGGATTAGAACAAGCAGAGAGCCGTTGGGACAGAAAAGTGTACCAGGACATGAGGACTCCTCTGACTAGGGCCTCGACCTCTTGAAGAAGACATGGTTGTACCCGTCCGGGATTGCGGCTCCTATATCAACAAGGACGCACCAAAAAGATCGAGCTTAAGACCTTGAACCAGATGTGTCCCGCACACTGACTTCTCAGAGCTCAAATATTGCAGAAAACCAACCATAAAGCGTTTTGCTCAATCCAATCGCAAAAGAGCTTTGAGCCATGCCGACGAAACAATGGAGCCCATTGATCTCCCACCAAGCTCTCCACTCCTTTTACCGCCTGCCGTAAGCACTCTCAAAAGCGGTATAAAACGGCAAGAATGTGATGACGTGAGCGGCGTGTTTCTGCCGCCGATACTCACCGATACCAGACTTGGAGTTACACAAATACCGGTACTGAAACAGGGCGGCGTCGGGCCAGCCACGTGTGAGTGGGGCTGGGACCTGAACTGGGCTTAGCGTCTGTCGCCTACAATGACCTTGACTCCTTGAGTGAGAACTGAGAACTGAATGAGCCGACAGCCTGACTTGGGCGAGACCGAACCGGGGCCGTGGGGCTCATGGCCTTATCATGAGAACTTCTGTAGAGATCACCAGAGCTATTAGGCGGACTTTGCGCGGGAGCATTATATAGTAAATTTCTATTGAAATGACGGAGCACTTACAGTTGAATAGGGATGCCTGTCCGGTGGAGACAATTTTCTTCAAGAATGAATGATGGTTGACCCCAAAGTTCAGCCACAGAGGGGTAGGAGAGATTCAATTGGATATAGTATTTGGGAGTTGCAAGGAGCACGGTCTACGGGCATTTACAGGGAAAAGTTGAGTGGACTTGCGTCTAGTTATGAACTCTATTTATTCTGGGATCGGGCTCCTTGCAAACGGCCCAGAGCTCCTTGCTCTTAATCTCTATGGAATCCATGCCCGTTTTCTGCTAGGTATGGTTGACATGAAATAATGCAAACCAAAATGTCAAATGCAGCTCGGAGGTTATGCAAAACGCCTCCAGTTTTCAGAAATTATGCCTCACGCTGAAAATGCGATGCAGAATATGATGGAGAAAACAAAGTGCTGGGAAAATATTAACAACAGAACTGTGCTGTAGAAACCAATTCTGCTAAACGTCAAAGGGAGCCATATTTAATTATAGTCATGCTGTGTCAAACCCATTAAAGACCATCTCGGAGCCGCCGATCTTCGTCCCAAATCTCTTTCTTCATTCGTTGCAGTCGAACATGCTGTTTCTGTAGCTTCTCCAATTCCGCCCGTGGTGGATCAGGATGAGCTGCCATTGCATCATGTAATGAACGATACTTGGCATAAAACTGTTTAAACTTCTGTGACTTCTCCCGCAATTGTCGCATATGTAGCTCGCGACTGAGAGGCGGAGAGGCGCTCCCGGTGCTGCCACTCGAAGCGCTCACTGCCCGTCGCCGTTTGTGATCCAAGTCATCATGTAGACGGCTGTTCTGGATCGATGGCCGTTCTAGCTCGGCCTTGCGTTTTAGCGAATTTGTTGTCTCCGGTGCCCTTGCGATTCCGTTCGGCTTGGCTGGTAGTTTTGCGGTAGGCCGTTCTGCGGCTATACGCGGTCTCGAAATCTGACTTATCAGCGGCGAAGATGAACTCGAGGTATTGTTTTGGCTGGACGACCGGCTGCGACTTTGGGGGTCTGAGGTTTTGGTGGGCGAAGACGCGAGGGTGGTTGCTTTGTGGGTGGGCTTCTGGCTTGATGGCAAGGAGGACGGTGGTCTTTTCGCTGCGGTAGGTTTGCTATTGGAAGAGATATCTGACTTGGGCGCCGGTGCATCGTTATGATCAACTTTTGGTGTAGGTACATGGGAAGGCTCTTTGGGAGCTTTGGATTCAGTAACTTTCGGGGTCGGTTTGGGTTTGGGTTTGGGCTGCGTCCGCAGCGGTTGAGATTTTTCGGATGAAGATACGTCCGGAAGGTCAGTCTCGTCGTCGTCAGAATCATGCACATATTCGGCGGACTTGAACTTGTTCTCGGATTTCGACGGCGGCTTTTTGTCCGACTTTTTGGTCACACGACCGGTCAAGGTGCTATTGACAGCCGTCTTACCTTTCGCTGCCGGACGTTTGGCGTTCTTCTGCGTGTTCATAGCGGACTTCGGTGCGGTTGCCGCGGACTTCTCGGCTTCCTGGCTCGTCATGTTCCCGTTTTCGCCTGTTTCGTCTGAAATCTGTATCCGGGGAGTCAAGGGCTTTTTGATTGGGCCTGTTTGCAGGTTCAGCCGCGACAGGCACTTGCCTTTCCCGCGTTCTTCCTTGGGAAGTAGGCTCTGCCACAGCTTGTCAGAGCGAGAAATCCTCATTCGGTCAAACGCCGAGATGGCATTTTCTATTGCTTCCTGCCTGTCTTCCTGAGACGGGTAAGGAAATTTCCACACGTCCAGCTCCCTGTAGACTTTGTCTCGAAGATCGAACTTCTCCGGGTTGATTCGGTTCTCGACTCCGTACTTTTGAGCCAACACTGCGCAATCTTCAATGGAGGAACGGGTCTGGCGAGCGAGAAACTTGGTAGAGACGGCGCGAATTGCTAAGAGGTGAATGAAAGGGATCTTGAGGGCTTCGAGGCGGAGGCGGTCCTTGTTCTGAGAAGGGGGCGCTGAGGTTGGAGTGAGAGGAAGCATGGAGACAGGTGACCGAGCGACACCTAAAGCAGGGCTTGAAGATACAGAGCGATTGGAGTTGGGCTTGGTCTTCAGTAGCCTATCCTTCTCCAGCTCCACCTTGCTTGAAGGTATACGGGCAAGGAGAGCAGCCTTTGCGCGGCTATCGCCCGCTCGGAGAGCCTTTACTTCAGAGATATCAGTTATCATATGAGTCTTCTTCGATTCCTTTCCTCTTTCAAAGGCACTCAAGCTCTGCTCGAGATTGGCCAGTGCTTGGTCGGTGGCCGCGGTTGCCTCCTGGGCTTTTTGGACCTCCAAGCTGTGACTCAAAACGCCAGTGAAGTATAATTTTCCGTCATCGGTGGAGTTGTTTGTGTAGATCTCAGATCGGTGGGACTCGGGGGAGGAGTGGAATTGCTGTGACTTGTTCGAACCGTAGTAGAGGGTCTGGTGCTTTCCGAGGCGGATTCGGGCTGGTTGGTCGGCACGGAGACTCTCAATCAACTCATCCAGTGTGTTTTGAGCAAAGTCCAGACGCATAATCTGTGTAGATTTGGCTCCGGTATCGTCTCCGGGGCTGTCTCTATGTAGAGACAACCCTCTCTCGGGAACTCGTAGGGTGGACATCACGCCCGAGAGTGAGTGACGCCGGTCTCAACGAGAAGTGCAGTATGTAGACAATGAGGAGGATCGGTCAGTAAATAGGAATTGGAACAGGTGTCTCAGTCCGGGTTCGAGGTCCAGAGCGGGTAGCAGCGTGAGAGCTGCAGGTCATCGGCCGGGAGAGTTGAAACAAGAATACGCCATGAATCAAGCAACAGACCGTTGTGAGGGTTAAGGAAGGTTTGTGTATGGAAGGGCAAGCCAGGGTTTGAAAGCAGCAAGACCCATGGCAGAATGGTTTTGGAGGCAGTGTAGAAGAGGTGGGAAAGGGTGAGAGGGGAGAGGAAAGAAAGTAGGAAGGGAGAGGGCGAGATGAGATGAGATGATGCCGAAGAAACCAGGCCTGGGAAGCGTAAGGCGGAGCTGACCAGACAAGGCGGGTGGGGAGCGGCGGTATTCTGGTTTCTGGGCCGTATTGTCGCTGTTTAGGGTGCCTTTTCCACGCCCAGAGAGGCTATAAAAGGGAAATAATAAAGATAATTATCCCAGGTACTTGACCGATACTCCGACAAGTATTACCAATAAAAACAATGAATGCCCCCATTATTTATTTGGTTAAATTTATTAATCTCATTTCTTTACCTCTTTCGCAGGCCTGCAGCGTCCGAAGAGTGTCGCATCTTGCATTCAACTTTCTACCCTAAAGCATCGTTGACTGGGAATGTTTGCCCATTGGATACCGTCTCCTGCTGCTGGCTGTCTGTCTGTCTGACTAGTATTGGTCTACTGTAGTCAACAGGATTCTTCGGGACAATACACAAGAAGACGAATAATATTAGGAAGGGGGATGATAGTACGGCCACTAGTCCGAGAAACGGCGCGTTTAATGGGGTCAGTCGACTCAGACGTGACCTCGTCCAAAGTCATGATGGTAGCACTAACCGTGTCGTGTCGGGCAACCTTGGAAGGTTGACCTTGGGAGTCTTAGAAATCCCTTATTATTGCATCGGCATGTCAGTCATGATCGACCTGCCGCGTGCCAACAACAATGAGGTTCCTGGCTCTTGAAACTGAGCAATTCGGGGACAATGAGACTCAGATAGAAGTCAGACACAGTCTTTCTTTCCTCTGACATCCTCATACCGTAGTGTTCACTGACCAGAATGGCTGAATGGCTTTCAAGGTATCGAGATCTGAGTGTGATCTGTCAGTCAGGTGGTCCCTTGGCCAGGCCCCGTCCAGCCCCTGTAAGAGTTGTATGTAACCGCTGTAACAACCCCCAACCTGTGCCACTCAGGCCCCACTGCCCGGAAACTAAGTGTGAACCACAAAGTAACTTCTGCGATGGATTAATCAAAACAGTCCTCTGCGCCGGTTCTTCAGCAAAGTGCTTTATAGACAGAGGACTACTGTTGGTGCTGGCTGGATATCCGTCCATCTCATCTCTGATGCAAGCAGAGGGAGCTAGAGCGTGAGGGGAATCAGAGACCGGAAGCCGGCCATTCATGCCTGAAGAACTTGGCAGTCAATAACGGATTCCGAATCCGAAGTAGTAACGTGCCGAAGGACAGCGACCAGAGGATACGTTTTGACCCCTCACGAATGGCCTATGCGCACAAGGTTGCTGGAGTACAGCATGAGGTATAATTTCCGGCCGTTATTCTTGTACTCTCTACTTCGTACAGGTGTAGACAGACAGACGTCGGTCAGGTACGGAGTATGTAGAGAGGTTGATGTGCGTGGTCTTAGCGAGAAGGCCGTGATCGCTGGGAGCAGTGAATCTCCAGCGATCCAAACCGCGTCTGCCGATCTCGACATTCGGCGCACCTTGGCCAATTGACCACGCCCATTATGAAGCTATGACATGCTCAGCCACGGCCGCACGGCACTACCCATGGCAGGAACTGTGGCCGTGAGTATACTAAGTATAGGCACGATGAACTGACTACGGATTCAGCATTCTCAAAGGGAAGCCTAAATCGCAGATACGGAAGGAACAAACCGAAGTCGGAATGTACATTTCCTCCTTCACAGGCGAGCTCCGTGGCCTGGCTACTCGAGCGAGAACCAAACCACTTATTGTCAACATAGGATCGGGTACGATACCGAGAATAACAATCGTCGTGGATCGCCCATCGACAGCAGATCAGTGATCACCCGCGAACCAACCCTTTGTTCGCAGATGCTGCGTGTTTCCTTCCTGCTTGCCTGAACACTGAAAGAACCCGTGAAGCGTGGGTATCATAATGATGGGGTCCTCGTGAGGCACAAGCAATTGTCATATCAGATCGGAAGTCGAAACCCCGGGATGGCTAAGGCATAGTACCTGGTGCCGTATCAATGTCCCTGACTCTCTGTGGCAATAGCGATAAATATGCCGGGGTAAGTACGAGGGATATATGTGGTATCCAAATCAATCCAAGAAGTTCGAAAACCCACCCTGACTCCCTGTCTTTTGCCACCTCCGAGTCGGGTCTCCGTCCTAGCTCCTGATTTTATTTGGCTGTCCGCGTCGGGGAACTCTTGAAGCTACGAACATTTCTCAGTGAGATGATCGTCAGGACCGGTCGTCTCAGTTCAAGATTCCCAATAGATTGCTCAGCAACACCCGAAACAACCTTTAACGGGAACCCAGTAGTCCTGACAAACTCCGCACGCGTGAATTGAACAGTGACGATTGAATATGACGGTTTCCTTACTTTCTCCTACTGACAAGAGGTAAAATGTCATGTTACGAGTTTCTTACGGCTGGCGCGCTAAACGGGTGTGCCCGGCTGGAACTGGAAGTGGAGAAGAGGTCCCGACAGCGAGTTCAAAAAGCAAAAATGCTGACAAGAACAAAGTTCGCAGGAAATAATTGGTTTCCAAGGGCCTAGGAGAGATGAATCTGGAGGTTAGATAGGCCTCCCTGCGATCATTCCAGCTAGGTGAATGTGCCGTATGAAGGGATATTTATCAACTCCCTCAGGGACAGCTCAGACGTCGCCCAATCTGTGACCTACGCTCCTCATACTCATCATATGCCTTTACGACTTGTAACGTCAAGGCTCAAGCCAAGCGGCAAAGGCCCGTTCCGACAAGAACCGGAGAAAGCCTGAGCCTGGCGGAGTGACTGCGTCTCATGCGTCGACCTTGCGGGTACGAGTGTCGAGTATTTCCTGCCAACTCTTCCAAGCTGCTGGAATTGAGAAAGAAAATCGATCGCAACAATGCACAGCGCACTGATGGTCAAGGCACCCCACAACACTGCAGGTGAGCCGGCTTTCGTACGGCATTTCCCCTTCGAGTGCCCGATCTAGTGGTTTTATTCAAACCATGAGCCTATAACATGCTCCACGTGCGATTGCTTCTACTATACCGTACACCGTTCCGCGCAGAGCAGCAATGCGGAAAGTAACAACTACAACTTAGCAGCAAAGGCTCTTGACTAGACCCCAATAAGTTCGACCTACCACAGACCAGCTCTCGCCATTCAAAGGCCTCGACAGTCACCACATGAAATCCTGGATGCAATGCCACGGATGTCTCACAGCATCCGTCTAAGCCCTATTCAGATCCCTGTACAACTGCAGGTGCACTCCCCAATTGCAGTTAGCCCAGGTAATTACCGGCTATTCTTAGCAGCAACTCGCTTACTCTGGATGAATTTACTGCTTATCAATCTGGCTCTGTCAGCAGTCAAGATGTCGGTCTTCAGGCTTCAGCCCCAAGCATGGCCCAGTCAGCATTCAATGGATGCGAGGCGTTCAGCCCCGTGAGTAGCTGAAAATCATCTGGCATACAACCTTCAGACATACAGCACATCATCATTCATCATTGACTGCCCTATGGTAATAGGGCATGTTTCCTGCAGAGTACCTAGTACACTCATTTGCTAGGTATTATTGACGTCCTCTGTGATGTAACGCTAGGTTGCTGCTAATACCACAAACGCGCCGCACATCTCGTAGTTATCGTCCACTGATGACTTACCATATCCATTCTCGCAGCGCCTTACTTGACCAGCCTGCTCCTGGGTCCTGACTAGCGTTACAAACCTCTTAATCATTCGCGCAGTAGATTTCCTGCAGCCATTGGGATATGTCGTGGAACCAGCTTTGACCGACTACTGGCCGTTACCTACTTGTCGCTCCGAAACGTGCCCATACCAATGTCTCGCCTATGTCCGGGGCTTTGACTTGACTCGACCAGATTCTCTTCAGCTGTCAGGTCAGGTAGGACACTATAGATCGATGCGAGTCAGATCTACAGTACACTCAGTAGCGGACGCCCTGCTCTAGAGCAGCACTATCTTAGAGAGACGCGGGGCTCCAACTACAACTTGCAACCCAGAAAAAAGATCTACATCCCAGCCTCATTCCATCCATCGCCCACGTCTTGCGAGGCGAGTCCAGGTTATGATCGTGAAAGCCAACGAACCGGGACGACTCCTGCGCCTCATGGTGATCTCGATCGCTTTGCCTAGGTACGGTGAGCCGGTGAGGTCCAATAGCCAGCCATTTATCCCTGAGCTTCGGCTAGCTGCCTAAATATGTACCTGGCGTATGCATTTGCGCATGCACTGCAGCCCGTTGTAAGGTACGCACGTACCTCGTCGTAGATATGTTGTGCTTTTCTGACAACGGCACAGTTGCTTGCTTGTGGGAAATTATAGAGCGCATAGAACCCACATTTGATGACTATTATTGGGTAGGTATCATGCGGTTTGGACAGATGGGTTGTGAATGGGACTGGACTGGAGGAGACTATTAGAAGTCTACCTAAGTGGCTTATGAGTACCTAGAGGTAGTTAGGCCCTGAGACAAGACCAGACACAACACTTGTTTGCTACTCAGATGTGATTCCTTTGTGCATATGGACGGTATGAGCCACGGTCACAGCAAAAGTGTTTAGGTAAAAACAGTCTTCCAAGTAGATTTTTAAACGTGCCCTTAATATGCTAATAGAACAAAACGGATATCAGTACATGTGTCTCTTCTAAACAGATCCAATTATAACCAGTTTAGCCTTCTATCTCTCCTTTGTTTAATTTAACCGGTCACCTTGAAGATGGACTCGGCAAGGCGCTTGACGTTGCCGGTGGTGATACCAGCCACGGAGATACGGCCGTCCTTGGTGGCGTAGACGGAGTGCTCCTTGGCAAGAGCCTCCATCTGCTCGGGCTTGAGACCGGTGTAGGCGAACATGCCAATCTGGGGATATTAGTATTGAGAGGCTTCTAGTGGCTCAGAGCTGACGTACCTGGCTGGTGATGTGGGACCAGTCGTGCTTGCTGCCAAGCTCCTCAAGGTTCTTCTTGAGAAGAGCACGCATCTCGATGATGCGGTCGGCCATACCCTTGACCTCGCCGAGCCATTGCTTGTTAAGCGCGGGGTCGTTCATAATGGTCGAAGCGACACGGGCGCCGTGCACAGGGGGGTTAGAGTAGAAGGGACGGATGAGGATCTTGATCTGAGAGTCGACACGTTTCTTCTCCTCGGCGGACTCGCAGACGAGAGAGAAAGCACCGACACGCTCACCGTAGAGACCCTACAATTTGCGTCAACATACGAGCGCCGCAACATAGATCACTAAACTTACCATGTTCTTGGCGAAACTCTGGCACAGAGCAATGTTGTGGCCCTGTTCAACAAAATGTCGCGGTGCGAAGGCATCGGTATCGGCGTTTCCACTGGCGAATCCCTGGTACGCCATGTCGAAGAAAGCAAAGTGTCCCTTCTCCTTCATGACGTTGCTGATCTTGCGCCACTGGTCCTGGGTAGGGTCGACACCAGTGGGGTTGTGAGCGCAAGCATGGAGCAGGATGATGCTGTTGCTGGGAGCAGCCTTGAGGTCCTCGATAAGACCCTCGAAGTCAAGGCCGATGGTGTCCTTGTTGTAGTAGCGGTACTTCTCAACCTCCAAGCCCGAGTCCTTGAAGACAGCGTTGTGGTTGGCCCAGCTAGGCGTGGGAAGGTAGATCTTCTTCGCGCCGGGGTAGAAGCGCTGGAGGAAAGCACCGCCAATTCGCAGAGCACCAGTACCGGAGATGGACTGTGTGATGACGAGACGGTCCTCCTTCAGGACGGGAGAGTCGGCTCCGTAGGCAAGCTGGGCGGCGGCCTTGGTGAAAGAGGGGATACCAGTGATTCCAGCGTATTCCTTATCGAAGCGAGATGCAACAACCTTGTCCTCGGCGGCACGGACGGAGGGCAGGACAAAGGGCTTACCCTGGTCGTCACCTACAGAGACGTGGGAAATTAGCAACTGTTTATAACGACAATTGCGGGAGCGCGGCCATCAATGCAAGCCGTTGAATTGACGAGAAGAGGTCGAAATGACTAGACCGGGGTTCCTTACGGTAAGCACCAACACCCAGGTTGATCTTCTCCTTGAAAGAGTCGGCCTTGTAGGCTTCGGTGATACCAAGGATAGCATCCTAAAGATTGAGCCGCAATGTCAGGAATGCATTATTCGGATGGATCTAGACATTGTGAAGCTTACAGGAGGACCCTGAGGAACGTTGGACCAGGTGGAAGCGTATCTAGCGCCAGCAATCACGGAGCGTACGCTAGCATCGCGGGACACAGCCCGGCGGCTGGCGAGTCTGAGAGTAGAGAGCATGACGAGAATTGACTGTCAAGGATAGGGGGAAGATCTGGGGTAGAAAAGAAGATCAAAGGTGAAAGAAACAAAGAAATAATAATTGCCAGGAGGACGATCGGTCAGCAAGGGAGCGATAAATAGCAGCAGCAGCTAGTGTGGCCCGAGTCGGAGATGCTGCGTGATGTTTGTGTGAATGTTTTCTTTGACTCATGTGAGAGCGATGGGCCGATCGCGGGTAAAAGCCCGACAGGGATCCGATCTCTACGCCAGTCCCAACCAAATATTAGCTATTTACATCGTCAATTGAATCTATACTGTTCATTATGACCACAGATACTTGGTTGTAAACTTGTAATACATGATATCATGCATTGCCAACTCCACATCTCCGCGTGAGCATCTCCAGACTACTGACTCTAAGCACGGTGCTCTAAATGGCGCTGAAGGCTGACTCTGGTCGCGCCATAAATACTGTGGACCGCTTCCGGTGAACTTTCTGGACGGTTTCCCCTCACGAGAATTTGGAGAGGATTTGGGGTAAAAGTGCGCTGAGGGTAGGGATGGACAAAATGGCTGACGGTAATTACGGAAAGTTGAAATTTAAGGATTTTTTCGGTAAGGAATAATTCCTGACAAAAGAGTAAAATCACGTGACTTACCGCCTTCTAATTAGGTTAGCGCCGCGGTAGAATTATTAAGTAGAGGACTACTAGTAAAGTAATAATTCTAACTTTATATATAAAATTAACTTTTTTTTAAAAAGCGCAAATGCAGGTAAGTTTAGACCTTTATAATATTATTTTTATTAATTAATAAAAAGTTTTTATTTAAAATATTATTATAAATATTACTATAGCTGCTTTTTTTTATATATACCCCTAAATTACCTACCTGCTAGCCACTAAACTACCTATAAATTAGCCCCTAAACTTAATTAATATAAGGTTATTTATATAGCTAAAAAAATAATAGCTAGTTAATAAGCTTATAAACCTATTTACTAAGTATTTAAGCTAGCTTTATAATATTTTTTTTATTTATGCTAACTAAAAAGTTACTAAGCTAAAAAAAACTTTTTTTTAACTTTTAATTTTTAATAAACACTACCTTATTAAATTTTTTTAATATAGGGGCTTATAAAATACTAAAAATCTTATTAATAAAGCAAGCGTTTTATTAAATAAAAATAAGCTTTTTAACTTACTTTATTCTTAACTAGTTGCAGAGTTTAGTATATTATAGCTTTATTATAAAAAATAATTTTTTAGCTACTACTAAATTAATAGTTATATAATAAAAATAAAGGGCTAAATTAGTAAGTTTTAAAGCAAGGTATTTTTATTTAAGTATTTAAGTTAATTTCTTTTTTTATAAGATTTATATAGCGGAAAGAACTTGCCTGCCTATTTTATTAATTAAAGGGCTATAAAAGTAGTTTCTTTTTTTAAATTACTTTATTATAAAAGCAGTCTTGCTAATTCTAAAATAAAAAAAAGTTATTTAAACCTTTTTAGCCGCTATACTTAACTAGTAACTTATTAATCTTTTTTATTTATTTTTAATTTACTAGTAAAACCTGCTTGTAGGTGTTAAGTAAATAAAAATAGTAAAAAAGCTAATAAAGTGTTATTATTTATTAATTTATTTAAAAAAGCTATTTAATATTAAGATACTAAGCTAGATTAGTACTAAAGGGGGGCTTTATTAATTTTTTTTTAAGGTTTTTTTAAAGCTTTAGCTAGCGGTTAGTTACCTAGGTATTAGTATTATTATTAGTATTATTATTATTAAGCGGGTAATTTTAAAGGCTTACTATTATAAGATTTAATTACTAGCCTTTAAAAATAGTAATTGTCAGGGCCAACGTTTTTTTGTTTAATGTTACCAGAGCTAATCTACTATTAGTCTAGAGTTAGCGCCTGAGCTTTGGCCTTAGGCCGCCAAGGCTTGGCATATTTTATTATTATATTAAGCTATATAACTTAACTAGGTTATTAATATTTAGGGTTTTAATTATTAATTAGGCAAGGCTAGGGTAGGCCCTAAGTATAGGCTAAAGTAAAAACTTATATATAAAGTATTTAAACCTATATTTACTTTTTAATTAAAAATAGCTTAAGCATAGCTTAAAGGTTTATAAAGGTGGCCTTAAGGCCAGCCTTTTTTTAGATTTTTAAGTAACTTTTTTAGTGTTATTTAATAGGGTTTAAAATACTTTATTTTTATTAATTAAATTCCTTTGTTAATATTTTTATTATTAGTAAAGATTTTTAAAACTTATTAGTCTTATAGTTAAAGTTACTTGCACCTACTACTTTTTAAACTTTTTTAATAATAATATTTTAAATTAAATTTTTAAAAAGTAAGCAAAGGTAGTCCGCAGGCGTTTTAATTAAGGTTCTTAAAACTTAAACTTAAATAATTAAAAAAGTGTTTTTTTTATTTATATTTAAGGATTTTATTACTATTAAAAATAGTTAAAAAAAAACCTAATTTAAATAATTTAGTTTACTAGCTTGGTAAAGCGCAGGGTAAAATATATTTTTTACTTTATTATTTTATATTATTATTAAAGCTTATTAATCTAAAATTTATTATAATTAAAGCTATTTTAAAGGAAAAATAGCTTAGGACTATAACTTCTAGCCTATTTATTTTTTAATTTTAATATAATTAGTATCGCGTGTTAAAATTAGGATATTTTTTTAAAAAAAATAAGGAAAAGTTACCCCTATAACCTAAAGCTAAAATAATATTAAATTATTAATTTTTATATTAATTTTTTTATTAATCCCCGCGCTAATCTTCTTATTAATATTTTTAATAAGTTTTAAAAAAAATTAATTTTAGTAATTTTTTTAATTTTAGTTTAAAGTTAAGCTTAAATAATTTAAGTTATTATTTTAAAGCTACTTTGCCTTTAAAACTTAGTGCTAGTAAAGCTAGCTTTAAGGGGTTTAAAAGTTTTAAATATATATAAAAAAGGTACTAAAAGG